TTATCTTTGGGAAAGTAATATGTTTTCAAGCGAAAACCGCTTTCTTCCTACCTCCCTTCTTAAATCCCCATAAAATATCACTACAAATTCTTTCTATCTCTTTGATTACAGCTTTAGGTAGAATGAAAGTGGCCACCCAAAACTGTGTTAAACTGTAAAGGACAACCATAATTAACTAACACCTCCATGCATAACTAAGAAACTTCGATCTTCAATCATTGATCTTGGTTGTCAATTTATCAATAAGAGGCTTACAAGCCTTAATTGTCAATTTTCCAGGGATAAGGGGTAGTCCCAAATATGAACAGGAAGAGAACCCAACTTATAACCAGCCCTCTCAACCATCGGCTCCTGCCAATACAACGGTAATGTCCCATAATATAATTCACATTTAGATGGGTTTGGCACCAAACCAGAAAGGGAGCTAAAGTCATCCAAAACCAATTGGATTGTATGAAGACCAGAGTTTGAACTATCAAAGAGTAGAAGCATATCATCAGCAAACATTAAATGGGTAAGATTAAGCCTCTTGCACATAGGGCGGAAAGGAAGCAACACTCCAGAAGCCTCCTTGTGCATAAGATATAAGACAATGATGCAGTTCCAAGGCTGGTGATTAGAAGTAGAGATCCGACTGTTTGGTTTTACCCGAAACCGGACCGTATAACTCAGACCGGAACCGGACTGGGACCGAATAGCAAACAATCCAATCTCATATTCGGACTTAGATTTGAGGTAAAAAAACCCGGATAAGAGACCCCCAACACCTAAAATCAAGATCAAATTGGGACCGGACCGAATCAAGACCGGACTGTATCCAATCCAATCTTTGGACCTTATATTCCCGAAAAAATCGGACTGGGACCGGATCAATTTGGTCCAACTTAACCGGACCGGATCGGACCGTATAGCCACCCCTATTGGGTACAAAAGAAAATTTTCTAGAAAAACATTACGTACAAGATGACTTTTTATAGGCTAATTGGATAAAAATATATACGCATATTAGGTGGAGCCAATCTCTCATTTGTGGTTCCAATTTCTTGCTAATTAATCGGACAGCTAACCACATAAATTTTGCTAACTTATAGATCGAATGTGAGATATCAGTCAAGAAGGTAGTAGAAGAGCTGTCAAATTAATGCTTCTTAGTAAAAAAAAAAAATTCTAGAACCACACAACAGTGGTTGTTCACAGGCCATCGTAAAGAGATCCACATTTTTTGCATTCTATTAAACGCCTATAAAAGGACATACTCGATGAAATGAATCATAATACTAATATATATAAAGAGGTTCTCCAAAAAAAACATGTTAAATGCTAAATTTGGATCTTCTAAGTAATTTAGGGAGGATAGTTTTGTCTACTTACATAATAAAGCTCCACCTTTCAATTAAAACACCCGACTTTTAAGGGTCATTTGGAAGTTGCGATTGTTAATTAAATAGACGTATTGTTGTGATTGCATGTATAATATTATACATGTATTGTCGAATTTGAGGTATTTTAAAATACAACGTTTGGTATATTTGATTGTGTATGTCATATCAGCTAAAAGGTCAGACAAAATAATCCGAACTCAATAATCACATGTATTGTTTTTGACAAAAAAATAAAATAATACATTCTAAACAATACATGTATAGTAACAATTTTACTAAAACAATTGCAACTTCCAAACAACCCTGGATAATTAACATAAAAGGTCACAAACCTATTCACTTTGTACAAAATGGTCACAAACCTTTCATTTTGCACGTTTCAATAACATACGTTTGAGAGAATAAAAAAATGGTCATTCCGTCCATCTCCATCCAAAAAATCGTTAGTTTGATCCATTCATCATGCCACATCACTTCAAAATATTAATATAAAAATTAATAACCAAACCCAATTGAACTGGATAATCCTAATTCTATACCGACCCACCCACCCGAAAACACTAATTCAATCAATCAAAGAAATTAAGTCACCCTCTATAGAGCGCGTATCAGCTCCCCCAAAATCGCCGGCAAAATCCAACGCTCCCGCCGCCGATTGCTTCCCCTAATCGCGGGGCCACCCTAAACCAAACGCCCCGACTGTCGTTCGCTTTCCCTTGTCGCGTCGCCGGCCAGAACAAAACCCCCACCGTCGATCCCTCCCCTGCTCGCGTCGCCGGCGTGAACCGAAGCCCCAACCACCAATTCGTCCCCTGCTCGCCTCGCCGACGTGAACCATTGTGTCCTTAATTTACTGTACTGAGTGGTAATGAGTCAAATTCCACGAAGAGAACGAGGATTGTCCTCTAGCGGTGGAAGATGTTTAGGGTGGTGGTGGAGGCTATTACGGCGGAAATTAGGAGACCCTGAAGAGGAGGGTGAATTTGAACAAGAACCCTCCCCCGATTGGAATGTTAAGACAAGTTTCCAAACAAAGACAAGTTTTGAACGGTAAAAGCTTCTACAATCGAAATGCAAAGGGAGGATTTGTTCCAGAGCACCCAACGCTCTTCCTCTAAACGAGCTCTCCACCTCCTTCTCATCTTCCTCCTCCCTTCCCCTGCAACCATCGCTATCATTGCCGTCCAACGATGATGCCGGAGACTCCCTTCAATTAGGGATTTCAGGTGGGTGAGTATATAACAGGATTGTCCGGTTCAATTAGGTTGGTCACTAATTTTTTATTAATATTTTATATGACGTGGCGTGATGACTGGACCAAACTAACGGTTTTTTGGATGGTGATGGACAGAATGACCATTTCGTTATTCTCTCAAACGTATGTTACTAAAATGTACAAATGAAAGGTTTGTGACCGCTTTGTACAAAGTGAATAGGTTTGTGACATTTTATGTTAATTACCTAAACAACCCTCATAAAAAATAGTTTCGCTTTTCTACACTTTAATTGATATTTGGTATATTATTAATATTACCAACATATATTATATAAAATAAAAGACCAACGCATTAATGGTAATTGACAAGGGTGAGGATGATTGGGAATATAATTACAATCGCCTTTGCTAGCACAGGTCTCAAGAGTGATGGCCTTTGCTATTACGGATCTCAAGAGTTAAACTTAATAGTATTTCAATTTTCCACAAATTCAACGAACTATCTTCTTCATTTCACCTATGCTTTAAAAATTTTGGGGTTAAAAATCATATTACTTGAAATCTGTTCAAAAATACTTGAAGAAAACTATGATAAGTAATTTTATAATAAGTATACGACATCAAAGACAACAATACTTAGGTAACAGTTTAACTCTTCTCTTCTCTTCATTTCAACTTCAAATTCAAATTCATTCATTCGTGAAAAAGACTTACCCAATACCCACTTAAATATAAAGTTTTCAATCAAGTAGTGTTTCAATTGCTATTATTTTATAAATTAAGGATTTAACATTGAGTTGTAAACAACATTGTTGAATCTAATTTTATTATTTCAGATCACAAGGGGCTAGGGTTTTCGGGAACTCCTATCAAGAAATTACTCCAGAGAATCTTCACATCCTCATGTCTACAAACGAAGGGAATGAGTTTAAATTTTCAGATCAAGCTTATGACATGGACATGATAAATTTAAGCTTGAAAATGGTGTTTGACAATGTAAATATTTTGCCACTAAATTTCATTGAAATGTAAGTAAGAGAAAGATTATGTTAATAGTGAAGGTAGTGAATCCGGTGATGTAGAAATAATGACGCTAATTGGAAGAATGAAGAGATAGTAGATGGAGGATACATAAATTTAAAAAATAGGAAAGAGAAAATGATTGATAATATTTATTGCTTGGATGGGGAAAATTATACTAGCAACATTTCATTTCCAAACATTTCACCATTAAAGTTTGGTTTTCAATAAATTGTGGGAGAAAAAAAGAAGAGAATAATGATGGTGAATGTAAAAGCTTCAACAATGGAGATGAACCACCTGAAGAAGATGATTTTGAGATTTTCATGATGGAGCAATCACAAATAAATCTAAAAGAAAATTTGCAATAACTTATTACAACCTAGTGTTAATTGAAGTGTGTTTTTGATTAATTTTGTTAGGAATTAGTCCATTGAATGAATTGTGTTTTTTACTTTTAATAAGTATTTTCTCTATGAATGATTAAGATGTCAGAAAACTTATGTTGTATGTAGTTTTTTATATTTTCAGTAATTGAATAATTTAAAACTTTTCACGGTATCAAATAAAATTATAACTTAATTCCAGTCATTATTATTATTATTATTATTATTGATGTGTAATTCATCCTACTACTAAGCGGGCCCTAATCTATTTAGTGAAATAAGGTCAAACTTAAAATAATAAAAGCTTCCTTTTGTTCTTTCCTCTCTGCCACAGCTCCCATTACTCCATTCCCAATTCCATTTCCAACAAAATTGTCCCTAACAAACAAAACCAATGCACGGTTTATAAATAAACACAAAAAATCGCCAATTACTTCTAATAAATACGCAAAATCCAGTGAAGGCCATGTGATTAATATGCAAAAGAATGATAGTCGTGCAAGTGGATAAAAATGATAGAATTCTCCGTTGGGCTTGTTCAAAGGATTGCAAATTCTATAGCGCAGTTTTCAGCTCCTATTTCTCCTTTGATAGTTTGTGATATTTAATGTAAAGATGTTGTAGGGCAGTAAGTCCTCATTATTAATAACCTCAGACCATTGCTAAAGAAGGGTACAATGGTCAAACTATTCAATGTCATTAGTGGATAGTTAAATCTATTAAGTATCTGATTTTGTAATAATAGAAAATTTAGATTTGATTGTAGAGTGATAAGCGATAAGGAGTCTATGTTAATATTTATATGATTCTATATTGGTTATATAAACTATTTAATGAAACCAATATGACTTTGCTTATGGCTAGTAAGTGTGTGTGTTTTTTTTCTTCCTTAACTCAATCAGTTAGGTTAACCAACTTTATTTCACGATTAATAAATTTCAAACCTGACCAGGTTCGATTGCAACTTAGTTTATCAATTGACCACCCCTAATCTCAATGATAATTTCATTTGTAGGTTACATACTAAATGTCCAAATATACCAGGTGCTATATATGGTCAGTGCCTTGGTAAGTCTTACATGCATACAGTCTGTAGTATAAATCCGGAAGAAGTCTGGAGATTAGTTACTAATTAGCCTCACCACAAGCCCGAGAGGTTAATTTGATGTAGTTAGTGGCTAGGCAATATTGATTGTGTAGATAATAAAGAGATAATGAAGTGGCATATATATGCATACCGCTCGCCACTTTCATTTCATTACATAAAAGTACGTAGCATTGACCATATAAAGTGGTCACACGTTACAAAACACAAAGACTAAAACAAAACACAGACGATCCATAGAACAGTGGAGAGACAATGAAGAGCCACCACAGTACGTACTAGACTCGTACCACATTTTATTATTGATAATAACTATTAGCGCAGAACCTAATATGGCCGCTTAATTCCCTGCTCACGTTCGTTTTACACGTACGCTTCACTTGATGCTGCCAAAAGAAAACCAGAGAACATAATTAACAACTATGAGCATGGAAGGTTGAAAGCTAGCAATAAAAAAAGAACAACGTAACGTACGATTTGCAGTTGGTGCTGGTGCTGATCTTGTAGGGAATGTTGACGCCACATGCACCGGGGAGGCCAGCGGCCTTGCCGGGGTTGATGCCGCCGACTGAGCCGGCGGTGGATTTCAAGCACTCGCAAGCAGCTTGGCGGTCAGGTGTGGTCTGGGCGGCAGCGTTGAGGGCCTTCACCCCGTTGCAGCATCCCGACGGGACGGGCGCGGGCCCAGGGCCCTTCAGGTAACCCAGGCATGGAGCCAGGCTGCTCGTCACCTGACCGCATGTTATGGCATGCACCGACGCCATGAATGGGGCTGCCACCAGGGCGCACACCAGGACCATCGACACCACCTTCGCTGCTGCACCCGCCATTCTTCGCAGCACAAAAAGGACTACGAGAAGTGTAAGGTAAGAGAAATGTGTTTTGTTTTAGAAAGCTGCTCGATCGAGAGAAGATTGCTGGGTGAGTGAATGTTGAAGCTCCCGGAGGAGGGTTTATATAGGGAAAAGCAGAGGATGGGTTTCGGTCGTGGGTCGGCCGGTTAGTTGGTTGTTCGGTGGTTGGTTGGGCCGGGATTTAATGCGTTTTTCCACTCTTGGGCTACCAATATGTCAAATCGGGGACGGCGATTTGCCTACCTACAAGCTGGCTCTCTCTCATTGGTCCGATGAATTACTCTTTTGACGTATAACCATCTCTCTCATTGGTCTCGCTGCCATTTATTTGTTTGTTCCCACCTCTTTTTTTCTGCCTTAAACAATTAACATTGAAATGGTTATGATAACATGTAACTATAAAAAACTGTCGGTTATCATTTAACACTGAACGTTCATTAGTTTAATTAAATCTATACAATCTCAAATTTTTGGTGATAAGAAGCCGTCTATAAAATTGATCGGAAAATTTCTTATACACATGAATTGAACTGAACAGTAGTTTTTCGAAAGTAGCATGGAATTAGTATAAGTAATATCCATTAAACATTCGCAGTTTGGAAAATACAATTCAGTCAATCTCCAATTCTCCATTACAAGCAGTTAGTACTTTTGTGTTATTTGGTGATCATTTTGAGGACAGTAGCTTGGGCGCGTCTGCCGCACATTAATTGTCCAGAAGGGAAGTAAAGGTGGTCCAGTCTGGTTAATATGAACCAGTAATGATGAATCTGCACCAGTGTTGTTCGGCAAGGATCCGGACTTTTAGTGGTAAACAACCAGTTAATGAATTAGTCAAAAATGGAAGGAGAAGCCTAATAACCCTCCATTAGTGATAAAAAAAATTCCGATAATTATCGAACATTTTATTAAGCTCCGCCTGACAAAACAGGGTCCTCAGAAAAACTAAGAGCTATGCTCTACTGTTATGCGTACAAAGACAAAAACAGAACAACTTTCAAACTTTCTATTCTGAATACAATAGACCACTTAAGTGAGAAATCTTCTGATCTTTCAGCTGGAACTCTGGCTTTCCCACGACAAAGTAGTTAAATTCAGCTATCCATTGCCTTGTAATCTCTTCCACAGTTTGCTGCTCACCCTTAAAAATTCGAGCGCATCTCTCTTTCCATATTGCATTAATACACCAGCACCAGATTGCACTCCAAACCAAACCCTTGCTGCCTTCCTTATTGCTTCGTCTTCGAATCCAGTTCATGAGGGCATCCCAATTCCTTGGCCACCAACTAGAGCCAAAAACCACTGTAAAAAACTCTAAAGCATAAGAGCAGGTGCAGAAAAGATGAGCTCGGGTCTCTTCTTCAGCCTTGCATAAAACACACAGTGAGTCAGAGATCCTCCCCCATTGCTTGAGCTTGTCCATCGTGGTGATCCTGTTCAATATTACCAACCAAGCCATAACCCTGTTTCTAGGTATCACAAATTTATTCCAAATTATTTTCCACCAATCCACTATAGCCCTCTGTGGTCTGATCGACAGCCACACCTGCTGCACCAAAAAACGTGGCATTAGCTTCCCTTCCCAAAGCACCTCACCTGCAGCATCCACAACAAATCTATACTGAAACCATCCTCTTGAACTAAGCATTTTCCTCCAGATCCCTGACCCTGACTGAGAGAGAGGAATGTCCCAGATAAATCTCCCTTTTAGTCTATACCGTTGTATCCATGCAACCCAGAAACTCCCACTCTTCATTAGTATTAACCACAACAGTCTAGCCACACATGCCATATTCCAATGTCCCAAATCCTTCAACCCCATTCCACCTTCCTTTTAAGGCAGTGCAACAATTTCCCAAGCTACTTTTGCTCGGCAGTGCCTTCACCATGCCACAAAAAATCCGAACAGATTTTATGAATATGTTCTAATATCTTCTTAGGCAGAATAAAAATGTTCATCCACAACTGCACAAGTGAGTAAAGCACAGAAGAAATCAGCTGGAGCTTCCCTTCATAAGAGAGCTTACTGGCTTGCCAAGAGCGGATTCTACCTGTTAACTTGTCCACCAAGACTTCACATTCTCTACTAGACCAACCGTCCTAAAATCAGTGGAAGTCAGAGATATCTCACAGGTAACTTCCCTTCTGCAAAACCAGACCGCTCAATAGCATTCTGCTTAAATAAATGCGCATGTCCACCAAAATATACCTCACACTTCTGCGGGTTGCAGCTCAACCCCGATAACAAGTAAAATTCATTCAATAAATTCCTTATTTGCATCAGAGCGGCTGCTGATCCCTCGGTAAAGATCAACAGGCCGTCAGCAAAACAAAGATGTGTCAGACCTATTGATCGACACTGAGGATGGTAAGGGATCCTTTTAGAACTTGCAGCAAAATCAAGCATACCTGAGAGAGGTTCAATGGCAATTGTAAAGAGGTAGGGAGCGAGAGGATCTCTCTGCCTAACCTCTTTCTAAGTTTGGAAAAGACCAAACAATGAACCATACAAGTTGATACTGAAATATGCAGAACTGAGGCAAACGTTTATCCACTCAATAAACTCTCTTGGGAAACCCATTTGCATCATCATGCAGATTAAATACTCCCAGTTAACCGAGTCGAAAGCCTTATGCATATCTATTTTAATTGCACAGCGAGAAGCAATCTTAATTTTATTATAGTTCTGCACCATCTCCTGCGCCATTAGTATGTTGTCTAGAATACTCCTTCCTTTAACAAACGTTGATTGATTTCTACTTATCACTTCAGGAAGTGCAATCTGTATTTTATTCGCTAATACTTTTGCAATTATATTATAGAGTACATTAATGCACGCTATAGGCCTGAAGGCTGTCATTCTATCAGCATTCAGTGTTTTTGGGGCAAGAGTAAGAGATGCAGTATTCATACCTCAAGGCAAAGTTTTTGTTCTGAAAAATTCCTTAACTCCCTCACAGATGTCTCCGCCAATTAAACTCCAATGCTTCTGGAAAAACCTTGTTGTCCACCCATCAGGGCCTGGAGCTTTCAATGGATCCATAGAAAATAGTGCAGCTCTTACTTCTTCATTAGTTACTTCAGCACATAGCACGTGTTTGCTTTGTTCACTAACCTGCTTCCTTATAAAAGATCCAATGCCTGCCTTATCTTTACTGCCTTATGGAAGAAAGCTAAGTTTATATCACCCAGTGCAAGCCAATTAATACAAGATTTCTGGCTATAGAAGCTTTCTTCTACTCTTCTTAAGTTCTGCAACTTCTCAGTGAGAAGATGCATTCGTTCAAAAGTGACAGGGGTAGGATCTTCAAGAGCTTGAGCTTGAGCCAATTCCAAGTTGGAATTAGCCGCCTTCACTTTATCTGAAATATTCATAAACTCCTGTCTATTTAACTTCTTAAGTTCTATCTTCAACATTTGGAATTTCCTTTTTATTCTCTGTAGAACTGGGCCATGTAGTTGCTTGTTCCATACTTCAATCACTGTGACATCATAGGAAGGGTGCTGCATCCACATCTGAAAAAACCTAAAAGGTTTTGGGAAGGATTTCCTAGGTCTACTGGGTCTTACGAGCATCCCACAGTGGTCCGAGAAAGATGGATTAAGAAATTCAGCCACACTATCTGGAAAACCATCAAGCCAATCTTCATTTACCAATATTCTGTCAAGTTTCCTCGCAATAGGATTCCCACTCTGCTGATTTGTCCAAGTAAAGAACGAGCTAGATGCCTGATGATCAATCAACTCCATCTCTATGATCCAATCTCTGAATGCACTCATGCTTGGTGTAACACGTACCGTATTAGACGCCTCAAATGGGTTGATAATGGCATTAAAATCACCACATACCACCCATGGAAAACCTCCGACTCTCCATTTCCTTAGTCTAGCATAAGTTGCTGATCGCTCAGCCTCGTCGTTTGATGCATGTACTGTTGTGAAAAAGAACTGAACCTTGGGAGAAACTGACACTAAAGCATGGATGAAGTTTGCATCTGTACAAAGTATAGACCCCCGCACTTCCTCATCCCATGCTACCCACACTCGCCCCAGTGGATGACAATCATAATTATATGCATTAACGATTGTCTTTTTAATACTATGCGGAGAATATTGCTTCAATTCATGAAATCTCCTTCTGATCACACCAATTATGTTTATGTAAAATCAAATTATCCTTTTACCTTACTATTCAAATCTTCGAAATGCTTTGTTTTGTTGTAACATCCTACTATTTCATATTCGTAGTCAACAATCAATCAATGATTTTGATCATTGTCATAAAAAATATATATTTCTAAATTAAAATGTTTAATAACTAATTATTGACAGTTTGTTATATCTCCCATAGCCATATGTTGAAAATTGATGGCAAAAATATAATGGTTGTTCAATTATCAACGTTGACTCATTCCTAACGTGGAGGTATGTAAACTCTCTATTTAAGACATTATGTCTCGTCTTTCAACCATGATACTCAATTTTATTATCTTATATAGTAAGCTAGCTTATTAATCTCAAAATTAGGAATAACTCTTAACCCATGCATATATATTGACTCCTAAGTATATCACTAAATTTCTAATAAAGATGCTTGATCTCTAAGTATTTATATCCCAATTCTAGGCAATTGGTACATCATCAAGGTTTTGTCCTTGTCAGGGTATTTTTATTTAATGCTTCCTTATTTTTTGGCAAATATTTTAGTTAGAATTTTCTTGTCAGATGTAGGAAACAAGGTTTCCTACAGAATGGGGATTGGGGAATTTAGCTAGATCAATTAGGGATTGATCTAACTAGGGATTGGGAATTGAGGATTTGAGAACAGAAGAGAGGGAATTGGGGGTGCTGCTGCCGCAGCTTGAGGGAAGAAGATGGGAGGGATCGACGCTGGTGAGAGGAGAAAGAGAGAGAGAGAGAGAGAGTTTAGGTTTAGGAATTTTATTACTTTCTGCTTAATGAAAAATAATACCCTAGTGCATATTAAATAGTCTGCCTAATTCCCAATGACTACCCAACTCATTAAACATAACATTAAACTCCCTGTTTATTCCCGAATACCCCAAATAATACCCTAAATCATAAAAACCGACAATAATCCTAACTAACAAAATACTGTAAATAATGTGTTTTCCACATCCCCTCTTCCTTCGAAAAACAACCTTGTCCTCAAGGTTGTTCCTCCAGCTCACTAGGCCTCTTCCTCTCCATTTCCATCATC